AGCATCAAACGTTTATACGAGACCGGAATCATTCGCTTACGATGAAACTAAGTTGACTTTTATTTGTATTTCATAACCATTCAACAAATTTATTTTGTGTACATTATTATAATCACTACTGAGTACAGTAATAATCAACAATTCAGAAACGCAGCATGCCGAGATTTTTGTGTTCGTTTTTATTTGAAACTTCGTTTATTTAGAATATATTTTCGTTACCAATAAAATAAAAATCTCTCAGTCAATCAGAAACCCGGATTCATGCCTTCGAGGAAGGTCCCGTTTGAACGCTCACATCGGTTTTTTTTTCGTTTAACTAAAACTAAAACTGGTCGCAATTTTCGAATAAGAATGAGTCGGCAATTTTTAGTGGAGTCGAAAATTTGGAGGTAAATAAAACACCGAAACCCGGCAAATAAATAGGCGTTCGAATTTTTAGAGGGGTCGAAATTTTGGAGTTTTCACGTTACTAATTATTCCATTTCAATGAAACTTAGTACAAAGATGCTCTAGGACAATGTACAAACCTAATTAGTTTGGGGTAAAAATCTGTTCATATTAATTCCCTAATAAGCATAATAATTCATAATTTTTTGGTTCTAATCACATTTCAATTAAACTTGGAGACATAGATTTTCTGTTGCGCAGACCTCATTAGTTTTACACTCAAATCTGGTCATATTAATTTTCTGATTTGCATAATTAGTTTTCAGCTAAGTAATTTCGAATTATATTTAATGTGTCTCCAATACTCTCAGCACATGGGAGTTCTTTCTAAGCTTTCTTTGATTTTATTTTATTTTATGGTGTCACAGAAGAAGATAATGGAACCTCAGGTGATGAAATAGGAATGAACAATGACATTGCAACAAACAGTGATGTCATTGTAAATAATAACGGGGTAGCAAATGAGGATGTCATAGCAACTGATAGGGATGTCATAGCAACAAATGAGGATGCCACAGCAACTGATGGGGATGTCATAGCAACAAATGAGGATGTCATGGCAACTGATGCAGATGCCACAGCAACAAATGACTATGTCACAGCAACTGATGGGAATGTCATAGCAACTGATTGGGATGTCATAGCAACAAATGAGGATGCTACAGCAGCTGATGAGGATGTCATAGCAACTGATGGGGATGTCATAGCAACAAATGAGGATGCCACAGCAGCTGATGGGGATGTCATAGCAACAAATGAGGATGTCATGGCAACTGATGGGGATGTCATAGCAACTAATGGGGATGTCATGGCAACTGATGGGAATGTCATGGCAACTGATGGGGATGTCATAGCAACTGATGGGGATGTCATAGCAACAAATGGGAATGTCATGGCAACTGATGGGGATGTCATAGCAACTGATGGGGATGTCATGGCAACTAGTGAGGATGTCATAGCAACTGATGGGGATGGCATAGCAACTAGTGAGGATGTCATGGAACAACAAGAACCAGTGCAAGATGAAAAAAATAAAGATATAGTACAAAATACGCTTGAGTGCTTGCAGGAAGAAGAAACAGGTACTTGTAGATGACCCCCTTTTCCTGAGCAGCCAGTCAGTCAGGGATATATGGTATAGAGTCAAGTTAGGAAAACAACAAGACATTTCAGTTGACAACTACTTTAGACTTCATATAGTTTAGACTTCAATACTGCCTAGAATGGTAAAATTGTAAAGAATTCTGTGAGGTTGTAATAAAACAGATATTATTGTCATAGCATAGTTAGCATTTACAAGTTGTACTGTGTCAGATATCAGGTGTTTTGAAGGTTATGAAAATTACTGATTATAGTGAAAGTTCAGAATATGATGTGTTATGTCAGTAAATGGTAATAGTTGTCATCTTTGAATCACTATGGCCAGTAAACCTTTCTGACTAACGGTATACCACAGTATAAATACTGCACTATTAGCAGTCCATGTACTGTTGTAAACAGATGACACTGTCTATGCTGTCTGAGAGACAATCATTCTACTACTCAACGATGTGCTAGGAGATGTATGCTTCTCATATTTTGATTAATCATTATTACAAAAACATCATTATATTTGAATGTTTCTGATTTCAAGCTTTCGTTTAATTTTCCGCAGCAACATCTGAAGTGGTAGCGGAGAAGATCACAACTGATACTGCAGCAGAGAAGTCTATTGACCCTGATCTCTCTGTGGAGAAAGCTGTGCTTGCAGCACAAGAAACAGCAACTGTCACTGCAGAGCCAGTCATAGAGGAAGAAGAGGATGCAGTTGTTGCCAAGCAACAAGAGATAGATGATGTTAAGGATGAAGCAAATGCAGTGGCTGAATCTCAGGATGATGGTAAGACTTTTCATGTTGACTAATATATTATTGTACAAGTTGACATAATGAGTGATCATGCCAATTATGTCATCAGGTCAGTTGTCTTGAATAATAAAATTAATGTGTTGATATAGTATATTCATATAATTGAAGTATTAATTCAAGTTACCAGGTCTGTTTAGCCGTTGCCATGATACTCTCATTAAGGTACTTACAGCTTACTTCATGACAGCCAATACAGAATATAATATAAATACAATATCCAGATTGAGTCACATTAACATGAAAAAAATGCAAATATAAAAAAGGGTACTCAAGCTTGTTTCTGTGGTAACAATAATTTTGTGATTTGCCTGTACTTCATTTTGCAAATGTTTAAAATCCTCTCATGAAACCTTTGCAAAAATTCTTGAGAAAGTGATAGTTTAGTGTACATGTATTAGCATATACCGGTACCCAAATAAAGCTCCAAAACTTAGTTTTGTAAAATACTAGTATTAGATTTACTTTAGTTTATTTTATTAGTAAGAACAGTACAACAATTCAGAATACATTAGAATAGTATGCTGCTTATGCTTAGTTCACACCAACGGCGCTTTGACGGGACTTTAAAGCGGCGTGCAAAGCGGCACCAAAGCGTAACAAAGCTTGATTAAAGCGTCAGGGTCGTAATAGATCGTGGGAAAGCTTGGAGTAAAGTGGGACATTCGGCAAGAGCGCCAAAAAATTTTAAACTGTTTAAAAATTTGGGGCGCTCTGTCACAAATTGATTAAAGCGCCACGATCGTAACAAAGGAACAAAGCTCAGCGAAGCTTGACTCAAAGCGTAGGAAAGCTTAACAGAGCTTGGTTCAAAGCGGGGCCCCCAGTCTTCACGATCTGTCACCACTTGACACGCTTCGTTAAGATGTCTCAAGATTTGCTACGATCTGTCAGGAAGATCTGACACGAGGTGTGACGCTTTCATCAAGATCTGAC